AAGCATTTTTAAAAAATTAATACTATCACCTTAAAAAAACCCCATTTTATTGTGATTTAAGTGAAAGTTTACAGGGCAAATTTGTTTTCTATTTAACAGGTTATATATTTTATTTTTTATAATAATTATAATGCCCACATTATGAAGGCATTCTTTCCACTACCTGGGAAAATAATTTAAACAAATATTTCTCCAGTGGAGATTCTATATTGGTTGTAACGTACCATTAAGTCAGAACAGACCCATTGCTGATTCTCCAGCGGGATTTCCGATGCTATAAATTGCCCGGGAGAAGATTGTCTATCTTTCTCCTGTGGAGCAGCTGTTTCAAGTGGATTTGATGGTTCAAATTTGATGCCTTCCTGTTAACAGTGCAGCCTCTGTCCTCTAAGCCATGAGAGCTCCAAAGAAGATATACACATGATCAAAAAACAAATAGATGTTTTATCTCATTTGTTATTGTTGTTATTATGTGCTGTTGAGTCTCCTGAGATGCATAGCGGCCCTATGCACAATAGCTTTGAAGCCTTTCCTGTCCTGAGACAGTCTCACTGACTCCAAACCACCTACTTTCATTGCCCCAGTTACTATATCCATCCGTATCATCCAGAGTCTTCCTCTCCTGCAGCGTCCCTCCACCCTTCCGAGCATGATGTCCTTCTCCAAGGATTGGTCCCTCCTGGCTACATACCCAGAGTATGTGAGACAGAGCTTCAAAATTCTAGCCTCCAAGGAGAAACTTGGTTTCACCTTCTCCAAGACAGACCTATTTGTTTCCTTGGCGGTTCATGGTACATTCAAGACGCTTCTCCAGCACCATAACTCGAAGGCATTGATTCTTCTTCTGTCATCCTTAGTCATTGTCCCACTCTTTGACGCATAGCAAGTAATTACTAAGACCATGGCCTGGATCAGGTGCACCTTGGTCTCTAGAATGACATCGTTGCTTCTCTGTACTCTGGAAATGCCATCCCTGACAGCAGATTTACCTAATGCAATTAGTTATGAACATATAAAACCCACAATTAAACACTATTTCATACCCACTAAAAGTGCTATCACAAAAAAGATCAGCAATATCAATTGTAGTTGAGTAAGTGAAGTAATGGGAATCTTCATGTGTTGCTGGTGGAGTTGTGAAATTGTGCAGCTGCTTTGGAAAACTGTTCGCTAATTCCTCAAAAAGTAAAAAATTGAGTTACCATGTGAACCAACAATTGCAACCCTGGTTATGTTCCCAAAGTGAAAACTTTCATCCATGTGAACGGTCATGACAACAAAAAAGTCAAAACACTAACTGATCAATGCCCATCAACTAATGAATGGATGCATAGAATGTGGCACATTCATCTGCACAGTGAGGTATTTGAACAAGCCCAAGTCGCTGCTGTTGTCCTTTTGGATTTATTATTTCGGTCATTGCCTTGTAGTTGATTCTTATTCATGGTGACTCCATTGTAACAGAGGAGAACCGTCCCATTGGATTTCTTGGCTGTTAGCTCTGGTGGCCTAGTGGTTGAGAAGCTACAGTGCAATCCCAAAGGCATGCAGTTCGAATCCACAACCTGCTCTGTAGGAGGATGATGGGCCATCTCACCTGTGATTAACTACCTCTGAGAAATAGCTAGAGGGTCAGCGAGGGGTCAGTTCCGACGTGCAACACTCTCTAGAGAAATCAATCACCAGGCTTTTCTTCTGTGGCCCAGTTAGGGGGAGTCAATGCATCAGTCTTTAAGTTAGCAGTCATGTGAATATTGCTTGTGCCACCAAGGGGCCTATTGGAATACTATTGTTGTCTACAATCGAGTTGGAAATGACCCTTAGCTGACTCTCCAGTGGGTTGTCAGAGGCAATAAATCACATGGAAAGAGATAGTCTCTCTCCCTCAGAGTAACGAGTGGATTTGAACTACATACCTTTGTGTTTGCAGTACAATTCCTTACCACAAATCCACCAGAGCTCATTGGAATACGGTTGTTGTTGTTGTTGTTGTCATTTAGAATACTATTCAACTAGATAAAGAAATTAAGTGTAATGTATCTACAACATGAATGAATATGGGATACATATGCAAATTTATGGGAGCTAGCCATAAAAAGCTACATATTAAGACAACTAATGGAAGCCATGATTGCAAATAGAGGAATAAGGAAGTGAATGAGGACATAAATTGGGGATACGCAATGACTGAGGGTCAAAAGGGCATGTAGGAAACTTCCAATTCCCCTGCATATTTTTTTTATTTTATTATTTTTGTGTGAGTGTACCGTCAAATCAGATCTGACTGGTACAGGAGAAGATTGTCCCTCCTTCCTTGGCAGAGCATCTGATGGATTCGAACCGCACGCCTCTGGGATTGTAGTTGCAGTTCCTTACCACTAGGCCACCAGAGCTCCCCTCCCCTGCATATTTTTAAAAAAATCTTTGATCCTTCCATGCCTAACTCTATTTCCCTTGTATTTCCGGTTGAAGAATTTGGAGGACATCACCTGCGTGACAGAGATGTGCGCGTGGGGACACTCTTCAGAAGTATGGTTGGCGAAGTCTAAGAAGTCCTCTGAATTGTACCCTCGCCTAAAAACTCATCAATGGACTTTCTGTTTCCTAGAAGGATTTATTTCCTTTAGCAATAAAGTTATCGTGGCTATTAAAAATTAAAAAAAGCTACATATTACATGCTTCTACTGCCAAAACAACAAACAAGCCTGTCTTGGAGGAAATGCAATCAAGGTTCTCTTTAGAACTGTCCACTTTTCCAAGCCTGATGTCCTTCTCCAAGGAATAGTCCTTTCTAGCAACATGCCCAAAGTATGTGAGACGAAGCTTTACCATCCTTACCTCCAAAGAGTACACTGGCTGCACCTTCTGCAAGAAAAATGTTTGTTCTTTTGGCAGTCCATGGGATAGTCGGTACTCTTCTCAAACAATACAATTCTTCTGTCATCCTTATTCATTTGTCCAGCTCTCGGCAGCATAGCCAGTGATTGAAAAGACCGTGGTCTGAATCAAGTACATCTAGTCCTCAAACTGACATAATTGCTCCTCAATAATTCAGAGAGGTCCCTGATTGCAGATTTTCCAAGTGTAATACTTTTCCCTATCTCCTGACTGCTGGGTACCAAGTGTACTGATTGGTGATCAAGTAAGATGAAGTCTTTGACAATTTCAATCGTTTCTCCACCTTTTTTGATGCTGTGTATAGGTCCAGAGGTAAGAACTTTTGTTTTCTTGACGTTGAGATGCAATCCATATTGAAGGCTGCAGAGTATGTCATTCAATCTGGCCACTGATGCCTACACAAACGCTCCACTTCTCTAAATGAAATGTTAGTTCCTAATCTCCTGTGTTCTGTGAGTTAGACTCAATGTCTTTTTTTTTTTTTTTACTGTCTTTTAAGGCCCATTTCACGTTAACATCCCATGACGAGTTTTCAAAATTATTCTAGCTGTCACATTCCCCGTGAAGGGACAGCAGAAACCCCATTTTTTAGAAACCCCCATTAACGCTAGAGGCAGAAGCGGGCCATAAAAATTCTTAGCTTAGGGCGAACACTAGTGCCCCGGGTAAGGCCTTGTCTGTCCTTGAAAAGTAAGGAATTAACTAGTGTCTACGTGACACCAAAGGAGTAAAGGCGGGCAAAGTAGCCAGCCCGTCAAATGTCGGCCCAGATGACTAATTCCCCAGCCCACCAACCAGGATCGCAATCCCCCTGCCCTAACAGGGGCACTCAAAAGAGCTATAAAAGCAAGTGGGAGGGGAAACTCGGGGCTTTTTTCCTTCACCACCTTCTTAAGGAGGAGAAAAGTCTCCACGCGTGTAAATAATACAATAAACGTTCTTGGAATTTCAGACGTGCTTTTAGATTTCTTTGAGGGGCATTTTGTGGGCAGAACACCCTGGACTCAGGAGAGTCAATAAGGACAGAGTCATTCAAGGAGCAAATATTTATGACACTTTTTTTGTTTGTAGGTGTATCTGTGGAAATAAGCTCTCTCCCCCTCCATTTCTAACCATTTTGTTTTTAATTGAAGGCGTACGCTTCATGCTGATTTATCAGTTAAGTGGGGTTGTGAGCGCGCATGCGTGATCCTGAAAGTCCAGGTCCCGCATCTGCGCGCTCATACTCCTGCGTCAGGCGTTGCTATGGAGCCCAACGCGCTCCAAACCGGAAGTGGTCCCGAGACAATGACGTTCCCAAGAAATTGTGTTTGAAAAAGATGCCATTGCAATAGAAGACAATATCACTCTTTTCCAACTCTATGGAGAAGTAGAAAAACATCTCAGCTTTCTTTCTGGGCGGAGAAAGACGCTCTTCTCTACGGAATAGCGAGGATCTCGGGAGGCGACGAGGCGCAGCGGAACCAAGTCGAGGGCGGCATTGGTTCCCGGGCGGGCAGAGCTCGGCACGCCCGGCGCGGTTGCCGTGGAAACAGAGCGGGCTGGGTGGATGCAGGGCCCCTCGGAGGCCGAATCTCTGCTGTCCGCCTGCCCAGTGGGCTCGCAGGACTGCCGCCAAGATGGTTAGTGGCCCTAAATAGTGAGGGAGGACTGTGAGTAGTTCCCGGGCTGGAGATTACAGGTTCCCCGGGCCCTCCTGGGAAGTCGAGAGTGTCGGTCGAAGGGGTCCCCTGCCCCTCCCGATCCCGCGGGGACAGGGTTGGACGTGCAGATGTCTTGATGCTTTCTTTCCTTCTGCCTTCCCTCGTCCCTACACCTGAGCTCTTTGTGGGGTGGAGAGCCGACTTGGGGAAGCTTTGGTGACGGAAGCCATGTGACAGCATCACCCTGGTCTGACCGGACGGGACGGGGGGGGGGGGGGGGGGGGGGGGCGGAGAAGTTGAGAATTGCCCTTCGTTTTAGCTCAAGTCCAGGGTGATGGCTCCTCTAATAAAGTGAGTTTTAAAAGGAGCTTGAATCCCAAGGGACCTCGACCTGTAAGCCCTGGAGTTGTCGCCCTGTGTTTTGCAATGGTTCGTACAGCGCCTTTGTTTCCTTCGCAGATGCTGTCAAGGGCCAAACCCGCTGTAGGTGGGGACCCACCGCACAGTGACAAAAGAAAGAAGAAAGGTAGGAAGATTCCAAAGCTAGAGGAGCTCCTTTCTCAGAGAGATTTCACTGGCGCTATTACCCTGTTGGAGGTAATGTCCAAAGAAGGTTGCTTCTTAGGAGGTGAATCTCGAGTCTAGATGAGTGCTTGCGTGAGTGCTGGTTGCTGTGCAGGTGGAGCAGGTGGGTGTCTTCCTGGGCTCCGTAAAAGAATCCTGGAAATCTTGGACACAGCGGTGGCAGTGATGGGTTCAAAACAGCGATGTTTGGGAGGGTAGTGCAGGATTGGCATGGTTTGGTTCTGTGGGGTGTGGAGTCACTGTGAGTCTGTAAATCCACCCAGAGGAAGTCTCCCAGCCAACCACCTAATGGATAAAGAACTAGAATGATTTCTTGAGAAGCATCCCAAACCCTGACAAAGTTGAGGCTTATTCCTTTTCTGTGTTATGAGTTTGGCATCAAATTTAAACGATTCTACTCTGCTTATTGCTTTTTAAAAAGGAGGCTTAATGGAATGCTGGGTGAAGTACTCAGCTGCTGACATATCCTTAGTTCCAACCCCTCACCCACTCCATAGGGAAACGATCTTGCAGCCTTCTTGCAGCCTGCTTCATAAAGATTTATGAAACCCTTTGAAACCCTGTGAGTAGTTCTGCTTTCTCCTGCAGGGTCTTTATAAGTCAGAACTGACTCCACAGCAGGGTTTTGTTTTAAAAATTGTACCCTCAGAAAGGGGTGGGCCTTTGTATTTAAAAGTTGAGCCCTGACTACGTCTCCAGGATAGAGATTCAAGTGTGAAGCATTGGATTCTGGAATGTGGGTTCTCTTGTTTTGGTGAGAGTTGGGTGTGGTCGGTTTGGCTGTTTTTTATTTTGTTCACAATCCTGTGTGAGCTGATTGAGTTTACTGAATTTAGCTAACAGTGAGCTCTGGGCTGAAAGCCTCTTGTTTAGAGTCAGTCAACTGGTGGGTGGGCCTTTGTATTTAAAGGTCATTTGGGCCCCAGGGCAGGTGTTGGGTTTGGGACTAACATTCAGCTAAGTGGTAAAGCACTGGTCTGTCAATTTGCTGTACTGAGGTAGCTTGGGGTTCCTGTGATGCTGAATTCTATGCCACCTGGTGTGCCAAATGCTATAATGGTTCCTCATGGTAGACAGTGTTTGGTTGGTGTTGCTCCCAGATTAAGACAGACTTGGAAGCAGGATTGGCATCCACTTCCTAAACAACAGACCGCCGGAAACTATAAACTTAGAGATCCACTGATACAGATGGAACAGGGTTTAGGTCTTCTGTTCATAGGGTGGCGATGAGTTATGCTCGACCCTTTGGCACTTATCAACAACAACCACCCTCAACCAAGATTTCAAGTCTCAGTGGCAGGGTTTTCAGCTTTTAATATGCATCACAGTCAGCTTGATTATTTGTTACAACGTCAAGTTCTAGTGTCCTGCTCTAGCTCTTCTAGTGATGAATTGTGTCACTAACGGAAGGGTTGGCCCGTCACTCCTGGACTAGGGAGCTCTGTGGTGCCAATGCAAAGATAGGCGGTGTGAACCCAGCAGCTGCTCTGTGTGAAGAAGATGGGCAGTTTCCTCTTGTGCAGTTTACTACCTCTGGAAACCCACTGTGGAGTTGGCCATGGGTTAGTTCTGACCTGACAACATACAACAACCAGTTACTCCGTAAGAGAAAGATGAGCAATCTCCTCCCATTAAGATTTTCGGCCTCGGAAACCCAAAGGGTCTCCAGGCGTCAGAATTGACCAGAGGGTAGTGGAGTTGGGCCTGTGGTTGTGTCAGGAACCTGCATTTTGAAGGAGATTGTGTGCTTCTGAGCTCAATATCCCAGGAGCCTGGACACTGGGAAATTGTAGCGTGGGAAGAATGTGTGGTAGGAGTGTAAGTGGTGCTGAAGGAGGAGGCGTGCGCTGTGTACACAGTCATTTGTCCACAACACCGCTGCTGGAATTTTATCCTAACTCAACAGCCTGTGTTGTGCAGACGACACAAACTTGCTTGCAGAAAGTGAAGCGTTATTAAAGCACTTGCTGAAAAAGATTAAAGATTGTTGCCTTCAATATGGATTACATGCCAGCATACGAAATCCTCACTATTGGACCAATAGGCAACATCATGATAGGTGAAAAAAAGATTGAAGTTGTCAGTGATTTCCTTTTACTTGTATCTACAGTCAACACCCTTGAAAGCATCAGTCAAGAAATCAAAAAGCATTTTGCTCTTCAAAGTTCTAAAGAGCAATGTCAGTTTAAAGAATGAGGTCTTTGCTGGAGAAGGAGGGGACAATCTCCTCCTGTACCAGTCAGATCTGATTTGATGGTACATGTAAAAATAATACAATAAAAATGAAAAAAAAATGAGGTCTTACTGGAAACCCTAAGTGTTAGACATAAGAAAGTGCGAGGGCGCAAGGGAGAGAAATAAAGAAAGGAATTGGTCCCAAGAAACAGGCCTTTATTGAGTGGTCTTAGAGGGACAAGGGGGATGCCAAGAGACCCAGCAGCATGGCATGCAGACAGGATCAAAATGGTGGCCTGGCATTTTGGGGGGTTTCCTCTTGATAGGGGTCCTGGGGAGGACTAAGATGGTATTTCTCAGAATTTGACATGTTAATTAAGTAAGGTTTTAGCACCTTTTTTTCAAGCTCAGACCCTTATCAGGATCCATTGTCTGGTCTGGTCTTTGATGTGACCAGCTTAGATGTTACCAGGTTTCTCAGGAAGTGATCAAGCTTGGGGGTGGTGGGGCAGCCGCCAAATTCTTCCTTCACTAAGTCTCTATAAACTTTCATTAAAATTAATGAAAAGAAAAAAAAAGAAATGGAAAAAAGAATACAATCCAGAACAAAAAAAAAAGAAGGGTTAAAGTAAATAAGATTTTAAAATTAAATATAGAATTCAAAAAGGTAAAAAAAAAATGAGGTCTAAGCCTTGCTCTGTTCGGGTTTTTCCTTATGCATCTGAAAGCTGGACACGAATAAGGAAGACCAAAGAAGAGTCACTGCCTTTGGAATGTGGTATTGGTGAAGAATATTGACTATCATGGGCTGCCAAAAAAACAAACAAATTTGTCTTGAGGGAAGTGCAGAGTGCTTCTCAGAGGCAAGGATGGTGAAACTGTGTCTCAGTTATTTTGGGCATATTTTCAGGAGGAACCAGTTTTTAGGGGGAGGTATCAATCCTGGGAGAATTACCGAGGTAGCCGAAGAGAGGAAGACCTTAAAAGTGGGCTGGAGAATGAGGAAGATTGCAGGGATGGTGCCGGAGAGGGCAGACTCCAGATCAGTGCTGACAGGGTTCCTACGTGATAGCACCCAGCAGCTACACATCACTGCGTTGTCATTGGGCTTCTGTGGACGTGGACGTGTCGTGGGAGGAGACTGCTCATCTTTGCTGTGTGGAGCAGCTGGTGGATTCAGATTACTGGCCTTTCTGTTAGCAGCCTAGCACATGATGCATTATGCCATCATTGCTCTTAGTTCAAAGGTAATTAAAGACAACAACCACAAACTTGTTGCCGTTGGGTGTGAGCTGACTCATAGCTGACGCTCAGCAGGTTTTCTGAGACTGAATTGCATGGGAGGAAACTGCCCGTCTTTCTCTTGAGGAGTGACTGGTGGTTTCAAACCACCAGAGGCCTGTGGGTTAGCACTGAAACCTCCGGTCTGTATCGCTGGACTCTGGTTCAGGAGTAATAGGACCATTTGGTGGCTTGTCCTGATTTGCAGTTAAAACCTTGGAATGAACAGATGTCTGTGCCCTCGGGATAGGATTGCGGAGTGAGTGGAGTGGCTGAGCAAGAAAGGCTGGCTTTTTAGACCTCAGTGGGAGTCTCCCTGTTACCATACCTGCAGGCTGACGGGCCTGAGTCATTCGGCATCAGATATATCCCACACTCTCTCATCCTCTTACCTGTCACCCAGATAGGTGATTATGAGGCTTCTCTCTTTCTAAAGTGTAAGTAAACGGAAAACAGGATGTGCAAGCTTTGAAAAGATACCCTTCTCAGGCATATGCTCTATTCAGTGGTTATAGGTTTAATTGAAATGAGTATTGTTTTTCCTCAGCGAGCTAAAATTTCATATTGTTCGTTAATAAATTTATAAAATTTTTCCAAAGTTTCTGTTTTTAAGCAAGAATTTTTATTTATTTTTAAAATTTTATTGGGAAAAATATGTTGGGGATACACGGAGGTGAGGGTTGGGAGCAGAAGGGTGAGGATGGGCAGGGATGAAAATTGCGGAAGTGCAGTTGCAGAGCTGCACAATTTGGTTGGTGGGGGGAGCAGGTAAAGTAAATGAAAAGGATCCAGTGGGGACCAGATGATTCAGGGCAATGGTAATTAAACAAGAATTTTAAGAAACTGATTTATTAAACAAGTCACAGTTTTTTTAATTCATTTTTTTCCCCCTCAAGTTCAAAGGGCATGTTGGGGAAGAGGAGGAGGACAGCCACCTGTGGATTGGGTACTGCGCCTTCCACCTGGGCGACTATCGCAGAGCATTGGAGGTGTGTGCAGACCGCCCCCCCCCCCCCGGGGGTGGTGCAGAAGAGGGCTCATAAAGAGGGTCACCACCACCCTCCCTGCCTTCCAAGCCCCGCCTCCCTGCAGCAGAGTAGCATCTGGGGGCAGTAGCATCTGGGGACAGTTTGTGATGTGTCTGATCACCAGATCTCCACCATGTCCATGCATGTCCTTTTTCTATTGCATGTACTAGTGAGATTGTAGGGAGCTCTGGTGGCTTAGTGGTAAGAAGCTGCACTGCGTCCCAAAGGCATACAGTTCAAATCCACCAGCTGCTTCAAGGGAGAAAGATGAGTCATCTCCTTCCATGTGATTTACAGCCTGTGTAAAACCCCTGGAGAGTCGACTGTGAGTTGCTTCCAACTTAATGACATACAACAAAGTGTGTTCGTAGAACACATTAACAGTATTAATTCTTGAACTTCCTTTTGATGATTTCGGTGAAATTGTACAGAGCAGCTTGAATTGGGATTCCATTTAACCATTCGAACATATTTTGTTTTCGGACAGTGAACTCTCCCCACTTTTCCCCAGTGGTTCTCATTTCCATGGATCCTTGTATATTCCGCACTTCCTGTCCTCTGAGCTTTCTTCTGGGCAAACGTGGTCGCCGTGGTTTCAGGTGGTCAGTTGTTCTGTGGACAGCATTCCTCCCGGGTTTTATTACTCATCTTACTGATGTGTCCATTATTTGGCTGATTAAAGTAGCTTCCCACCCCCCAAAAGTAGCTTTCTTAAGTAAATCTTCAGGAAAGACAAAAGAACCCATTTAAAACCATTTTTTATGTTAGAGTACACGTCATATAAGGTTTTCGTTTTATCCTCTTTTGAAATGTACCGTTCATTGTCAATAATTACATATAACACAGCCATCACCACTCAATTTCTGGGGCTTTTTCACCTCCTGTCTTTGCTGGTGCCTTCACAGACTCAGTGCCCCTTCCTTGTGACTATCGCCAGGACCTCAGGCTCTGGTGACCTCTGGTGACCTTTGGTCTGCCTGTTGCAGGCACTTTCTAGAAATGAGATCATAGACAGGAATCCCTCTGGAACAGTGGTCAGTATTTGACTACTAATCAAAAAGTTAGGTGCCAAAAGCCACCCACTGCTGTATGGGGTGGAGATGAAGCAGGCGGGCAGTTTCTGTCCAGATTACAGCTTGAAACCCCATGTGTAGTTCTGTGTCCTAAATGCTGCTGGGATAAGAATTATCTCCATGGCTGTGGGTTGGTTACCTGCCATGGAATCTTAAAATATTGATCCCCTAAATTAACTTATTTGACACAGTATTTTCATAGTTCATCTATGTCGTAGCATGTTTCAGAATTTCATTTCTCTTGATACCTTAAAAACCAGGCCACTTTGATACGTACTTTCATGAATATTTTCTCAAAAGAAATTCAGTGTTCCTTTGCTTGGTTATTTTTATAGAGGAAAGAGTGCATTTCTGCAAGTATATTGACTTAGAAATTGTTAACTCCCAGTCATAGTAAACCCTACCCACCAAAGTTAACCATTTCTCAGGTTGTGGATCTAGTTCTGGCCAAAATGAGAGATGCACTATGTTAAGCACTTCTTCAGTCCTAAATGAAGTTCTTTAAACATTTCCCACCCAGTTTTATTCTCCAAATACAGTCTAAGGATCCTTCCCAGATAGCAGTGGAAAAACATGTAGTAACCTTTAAAAATCAAGTCGTTCCCCCCCCCCCCCAAAAAAAAATCAAGTCCAACCCTAGTGAGAGGACCTTTCCCTTTACGGAAAAATGGTTCTCCCAAAACAAGGAAAGAGAATAAAAGTCCATCATTGATCTCTCTACTGTCAGAAGGTGATCATAGCCCACTCTGTATTTCAGGAATATGAAAATGCAACAAAGGAGGAGAATTGCAATCCTGAAGTCTGGGTGAACCTGGCCTGCACCTATTTCTTCCTTGGGATGTATAAGCAGGCAGAAGCAGCTGGATTTAAAGGTGAAGAGAGGCCTTTTACTATCAAGTCAGAGGTTTTAAAACAGAACATTCCTTTTCCTGTTGAGGCCAAAGTATTAGAAAATTTTAAAAAGTATCTTTCTTCTTCAAAAGTATTGGATTTGAGCTGCTTTGTATTAAGGAGTGTTGATCCACACCCTCCCACCCTGTGCCCCACCCCACACCTAGGAAACCAAGTGCAAAGGGGAAGGAGGAGAGAGGTGAGGAGACAGCTCTCTCCGGGGAGTGGATCTCAGTGCTGGAGCCCAGGGGGGGTGTTGGGCTCAGGGTCTGGAGGGTGGGAGCACTGAAGGAGTGCTGGGTCGATGATTGAGGGCATGTGTTTGATAGCTGCTTCCCCTGATTGGGGACCTTGGAGGTGCTGTGGTGAGAGCACTTGCCTCCTAACCTAAAGGCTGACCCAGCCTGGAGGAAGACCAGGAGCTCTGCTTCTGTGAAAGTCTGCCGCCAGGGAACCTGGGAACCCGGTGCGATAGTTGTGCTCTGCGCTGCAGGACCACGATGAGTTGAAATTGACTTGACAGCAATCAGCTTTTGTTTGATTTTTTCCCTGCCACTCCCACACCTCCCGACCCCTGCCTCCCTCAACCCCCTACTTCAGAGCAGGAAGCTCAGTAATTTCAGCCTGACAAAGCCAGACTTCTGCTCTCCTCTCTGATGTTAGTCTCAGGACTGTACTCAGGTTTGCACATAAGAATAGGGCAAAAGGGAAGACGTGGGAGGGGAGATTAAGGATAATTAGAGTGGGCATCAAATTAGAGACAATGCAAGGAATGAGGACAAGGGATGTTTGTCAGAGTGATGAGTTCCTGGGGAGAAGTCTTAGAGAAACACATATATACTGTCTGTCATATATATGTGTTTGGGAAATATTCCAACTTAAATCTGCTGAAAATGTGGTACTTGAAGTCCTCTTGATTTGCTCCTGGTTTATTTCACATATACTAGTGTAGTTTTTCCTAATTTAATTTTAAGATTCTTTTAGTTACTTACATTACCTTTCTAGAACCTTATCTTCTTTTACCTAAAATAATATTAAGACACATGGATGGTGATGTGTCTATCCAAGTGTATCTCTCTTTCCCTTTCTGTATATTTTCTAATTTTTTTTATGAATGGAAAAGTCACTTTTTGTTGTAAAAGATATAGATGATTGAATGTCCAGAATTAAGGAAAATTCTCTAAGAATGTGAGAGGGAGGAAGCTCTGGTGGCCTGGGGTAAGAAGCTGTACTGCAATCCCAGAGAAAGAATAGGAGAGGGATTTGGATTGAAAGGTGGGACCCTCTTTGCTTGGTTCTCCGCTTCTGCATAGCAGATGATGGTAGATTGGGGACCAGAGGCTGTAGGGAAAGGTGGTGGTATGATTGGGAGGAGCTTTCAGAAACAGTTGACCAGGAAGACTGGCTCAAGGAGAGGGAGCTTCTCCCATATTGTGATGGCCACAGCTGACCATCCGTGTCCACTCTAGCATTTGACCCACACACAGAGGCGGCCCCTTCCTCGCTCCGTGTGTGGTGAGGAAGAGAAGCCGCTTAGACTTCTTTGCGCCATTGCTGCTACTGCAGGTGGAGACCAGACTTAAACACCCTCCAGCCAACTCTTGCAGAGCACGGGTGTGAGCTGTGAGGACCCGCTTATCCACTGACTTTTTCTTCTTGTTGCGGTTGAGGTAAACTTAAGTGTTCAGAGCATGTTGGAGCAAGATGATTGTGGCATTTTAAATAGATACATACAACATGTGATCAGAGCCATGCGGTTTAAGTCCTTTGTGTTCAGACCCACATGCTCAAGGCATATGTGTTAAAACCAAGACACCTCAGGACCAGATGGTCAAGATTTGGGGAAACTCGTCTCATTTAATTGCTGAAAGGGACCAAGTACCATAGACTGTTCAGTGCTTTTATAACCCAATGAGTAAGCAGTTCGTGTTTTTCTTTCAGCCCCGAAAAGCCGGCTCCAGAACCGCCTGCTCTTCCACTTGGCCCACAAGGTACTGATTCTGCACTCAGCTCACGCTTCCAGCATTAAAAGACTCCCCAGCAACCCGGAAAGAGCGAGAGCTAGAGAACCTGCTTAATGGTGTTTTTCTGAAAGGGGTGCATAAAGTTCAGTTTTAGGATTGCCCCAATGGGTGTTGTCTGTCCTGGTAATTTGTTCAGAAATGTTAGCTTTGGGGCTCTGGAGGTTTGGCCCATAGCAAGCTGCACTGCCATCCCAAAGGCAGGCATCACTGACAGTTCGAATCCACTAGTTGCTTCTCCAGAGGAAGATGGGCAGTCACCCTCTTCGACAGTTTGCGGCCTCAGAGCCTGATGGAGGGTCACTGGGAGTCAGCACTGATGCTGTGGCCCTCAGCCTGTGGGGAATTTCTAAGGCAGCAGCCAAGTGAAAAGGGTAGTTGGTGTCAATTGTCCCATTAGGTCTCGGGAAGTGGACTCCAGTCTGAGCCTGATTCTGAGGACTGACACATTGCAGAGTTCCACGAGCCCAGTCACCTTCATCATCATCATAAAATGGCATGTTAAATAATAGGTGTTTTAGTTATAGAAGCTGGATGTATCCATTCTACTAAGGACTATATATAAGCAAGAGAAAAAACACCTCCCATGTAGAAAGAGAACTTTCAGCTGTTAGTGTGGTAGGAGGTCTTGTAGAAAGGAGATTATTCTATGCATGTTTATCACTTTGTGGTACAGAACAGGGATCCTGCTGCGTATCTGTGTTTATGTTCTACTTTCCCCTGCTTGTTTGTCATACTGTCAACGTACACCTGAGTCACTTAAGCTCACAAATGAGATTTTTTAAATTACTTCATAATATTTCATCAAATCCATATTCCACATAGTTAAAGCTTCCTAGTTGCTGTTTTTTGTTTTTGTTTTTTTTTAACTTTAAGACACTCACTAACACTATTTTAATAATAAATATATTACATGTATTAAATCTTTTTTTCCTTTTTTAAAATTTATTATTAATTTCAATGACAGTTTACAAAGACTTTGGATTTCCATTCATTCATTGTTGCACTTTTCTCCCCCACCGCACCTCTCTCCCCCAGTACACTACCCTCTTGGGAAAGTAAAAGAAAAATTGTTTCATTGTTTTACAGTCCCTTCCCCCAGGTCCACTCCACTTTGCAGCCTTCTCTCTGGACTCCTGTCATGACAAAAATACCTAATCACATATCCCTTTTAAATAGTTTTCTCCCTCATCTGTTTCAGTGCAGTATGCGCGTTATTAAACCCATCTTTCTCAGTCTCCCCCAAACCCCGATGTCAGTCCTGTTTTACAACAGTAAAGTTTCCTAGTTGTTTAACTTGTAGATTGTTTTACAATTTTAATTCTAAAAACACCATCCCAAACATCCTGGAAATTCAATTTCTGAGTTAGTGTTTATGCTCTAAAACTTTTCATTCAGATTGCTGCCTTGTTTTACAGGCAGTACTGCAAAACTAATTCTGGTTTTTAAAATTTCACATTGAGATGATGAAATTTGTCCCTTTTCGGTTCTGTCTCTCTCCCTCTAAGCCAGTCTTAGACTCTTACTAACTATACCAAAGCCTTGTCACTATTTCTTTTGTGGTCTGAGTGAGGGTTGACAAGGCAAACTTTTCCATCCTGCTGTTCATGCACATTTTCTTGTATAACATCAGTTTCCATACTCACAGGATATTTGTTCTTTCCCACTCCCTTCCTATAATTTTCATTCCCATGAACCGTTTTTCTGCCTCTTCCTTCTTGCTGGGCAGATGCTGTTCCACATTATCATTAGTGAGGGTCCCTCTTTATCTGTCATCCTAATCCCAGCACTTACCTGTTCTTTCAGGTTTTGAGTTCAGGTCCTCACTGTGTGGTGGTGCCATCACAAAGGTTTGTTATATGTTTCAAGTGTTTCTAGGTGTTCCTGGTAGGGAGACTGGACTTAAACAAGCTATCCTTCTATTAGTATAAATGAAAATATTTTATCCCATTGCAGGAAATATATTTTATTGTGTTTTTCTCTGTAATAAACATATAATGCATGCTTTTTATAGAACTTCTGGGAAATATAGAAAAATCACAGAGGAAAAAAGTAAAAAATTCTTGTAAGTCTACTATATAGATACTTGCTATATTTTTTCCAGACTTGTAAACATGTGTATCTTATTTTTCTGTGTATATACACTTACCTTACTAGATGGAATAATAGTATATGTAAGTATATATCCTGTCTTATAAGTTATACATTAGCTTTCCACTAAAAATGTGTGGTGACTCTTTCTCCGTGCCCCTAGATATTCTACAGAAGAGACTATAAATGTAATTCAAGGGAATGAATCACAGACACGCTTCTAGGTCTGTGTACCAAAGTAAAAATTTAACCACTAGGAGGTGCTGTACAAAACAGTTTGTATTTCTGTGTCAAATGGTACAACTATTCTGGAAAATAGTGCTTCCTTAAAAGCTTGAAAATAGAAGTACCACTCCATCCAGCAATCTCACTGTGAGGTGTGTTTCCTAAGGAAGTAAGAGCAGTGACACAAATTGATACATATGTGTTCATGTTTATGAAATGTTACTTCTAGTAGCAAAGAAATTGAAACAACCATCAGCAGATGTTTAAAGAAACTATGGTGCATTCACATAGTAGAGTATTATACAACATCAAAGGGTGATACAGAATTTCTGAAAAGTGAGGAGGCTCCGGAGCTGGGCTTGCAGCAGCAGGTCTGGGGAAGGGGCAGGCAGCACCATGTCTGGCTGGAAAGGTGGTAAGACGAAGCCCCTGAAACAGCCCTGGAAGCAGAGCAAGGAGATGGATGAGGAGGAGAAGGCTGCAAGCAGAAACAAAAAGAACCTTGAGGAGCTAAAAGTGAAGGCCACAGTCAAAGGTCCCCTGGCCACGTGTGGAATTAAGAAATCCAGCAAAAAATAAGAGGCAATGATGGACCCCGTTCCTTTTAAAAACATCTGGATTCTCTGCTATTCTGTTGCCACCTGCAGTTAAAAAATGAAGTGTTGTCTTGGCGCCTGTTGTACATTTAAAAAGAAACTTTTGTAAAACAATGGAGAAAAAAATAAGCCAAATGATGGTCCATCTCTTCAATTCTTACTCAGCCATTCCCATCTCAGCTGTGCATGCCGTCAAAGGAGACGCAATCCAGAATCCTGTCGGATCTGCTCGTAATTCTTTGTTGTGCCCAGAATTCTGTACCACCTGGAATTAAACCAACTCATTTAAATTTTTTTTTAAAAAAAATTCTTGAAACACCGGATAACATGTATGAAACAAAATTACAGTAATGGTACAAGACTACAATTATAATATGCTGCGGAAAGGTTTGCATACAGAATTATTCTTACATGGTTAGGTTGGAAATGAGTGGAGAAGGAAATAAAAATGAATAAATCAATAATAAATAATTATTAAATTAGGTGAAGGAAAAGGCAATGTACAATAAGGAAGTAATCAACCATTATAATTAATTAATGTTACTCAGAGATAAGAAACATCAGACTGAAGATAGTTTTCTAAGATAGCCTTTGGTACCTTTCTAAGATAGATATTTACCACATCAAGACCAGATTTAAATCACTCTTAAAAAAAAATTATTTCCAGTATGTTAGTGATCAAACTAGAATTCAGCTTCAAAATTTATCTCTCTGTATCTCTGTGTGTAAAGAGTTTTATTTTAAACTTTTTAAGGTTTCAAACCTATTTTTACATCTTTTTGAGTAACTACATATATTAAGGTCACTTCCTCTGTTTTACCCCACTTGAAATTGAAAGGCAGGTATTAGTTCAGAGCCACTTAACCACATATTCATACAAGGTTTGAATGGAACTCTGGCAGCCTAAGCCACACGGAAGAGTAGATGAACCTTAGGAGGATAGGAAATGAAAACCTAGTCATCGTGAGGAAGACGTTTTGTTACCATGTTTTCTGGGAAAGAGAGAAAAAGACAGAAGTCCTAATAAATCATCCAAAATGGAGAGATCTGTGGGTAAAACAACTCCCTAAACCACTGAAACACACATCAGAGGACAGCATCTGCTCAGCGGTGAAGCTCAGAAGACCAGAAGGGATGGGTGGACACCGTCAACACAGGGAAGAAGTGGGAAAACTTGCATTGTGGAGATTGCAAGCCACGTCACAAAACAAAATGTGGGTGAGGTTTTTAATTTAAAACTAATTTGCTATGTAAATTTGTACTTAATTTTTTTAAAACGGTCTTGGAGAAAATATAGATAAGAATTGTTTTAAAGGCAAAGAGTAAAGAGGCAGAGGAAAAATTGAAAAACAAGAAAAATGTAAACAAAGAAAATAGTTTTAAGTTGAAGGGAGGGTCAATAATTTGTATCTGCTGTAACTGAAAAGATTTCAAAAAATGTGCTTCTTGGAGCTCATTCCCTTTTCTCCCCAGCAGAGAAACCACCAGAAGCCCAGGGAAATTGGGGGGCGGGCGACACCCTGGCAGAGGAGAAGGAGTGTTGCCCTCTTCAGCTAGGGCACTCTAGGCATGGATCTTCATGTGCCTTTTCTTCTCTCACCTTTTAGTTTAATGATGAAAAGAAACTGATGAACTTCCACCAGAACCTGCAGGACGTCACAGAAGACCAGCTCAGCCTGGCCTCCATCCACTACATGCGCTCCCACTACCAGGAAGCCATCGACATATACAAGCGGATCCTGCTCGACAACAGGTTGGGGTGTCTCTCTCCCGCTGTCACATGCCGCCCCCACCCCTCAGCCCCTTACTTCACGGTCACAGGCTCCTCCCAGGCCCTCCTGGTCATCCAGGCACCTGCCGGCCTGGTCACCCCTCGTGTGCTGTGCGGTTGTACTTGTTTGGCCTCAGTTTCCATATTTGCTCCCTTCTCTGCACGAGCAGATATACATTGAAGTTGTGCCTTTCTTGATTGGTCATCTTTGGCTGTATCTGTATGGCAAAAGGTGAATATTACAATAGAGAAAGAAAACCATTGCAGTGATTACCCCCTGCCCAGTTCTTCGCTCGGCACGTTCCTGAGCTGTCCTTTTCTCTTTGCTGTCCCTCTGAGTTACTGTAAAGAGTGTGTGAAGACGTGACCGGTGGGACCCTTGTGTTTCCCAGGGAGTACCTCGCCCTCAATGTGTACGTGGCCCTCTGTTACTACAAGCTGGACTACTACGACGTGTCTCAGGAGGTCCTGGCCGTCTACCTGCAGCAGGTTCCCGACAGCACCATCGCGCTCAACCTGAAGGCCTGCAATCACTTCCGCCTGTACAACGGCAAAGCAGCTGAGGTAGTGACCAGATCCTCCATCACCGTCACCAGCACACTGTGCCAACCAGCTCAGGGCACCTCTTTAGTGATTTTTTTTTTCATGAAAGTTTGCAAATCATACTGGATTTTAGTCACCTATTCATTCACATTTTGTGTGTGCCATTAGTTACCGCTGAGCAATGTATTTCATTCCACTGTCTCATCCATGTCTTGAGTATTAAGGTGCTTCCTTACTGGTATTGGTTTGCTTAGGGTTTTGTTTTATGTTTTTGGGTTGGTTGGGTTGGGTGGGTTTTTTCCCCCATTTTATTTAATTATTTCTTTTGTGTGTGTACTGTCAAATTGAATCTGACAGGTACAGGAGGGGATTGCCCCTCCTTCTCCACAGAGTTTTTATCGTTCTAAGATGGGGAATTTTTTTCTCCATCTACTAAGATGATCGTGTAATTTTCTCTTAAGTGATGGTTGTGGCCAGTTATGCTGAGATCGTCTCCTTCATTAAGTCAGCCCTACATGGCCAGTGTAAAGCGGGTGTGGCTGTCCTTCAGCCCTGCATGGCTAGCATAAAGGCGGCATGGCTGTAGTCTGTTTTTTCTGAGTGTCACTGGACTCACTCCACTGATATTTTATTTAAGAGATTTCCCTCAATACTTACCATTATTATTGATCATTGTTCTATAACTTTGCTTTCTCTTTGGTATTACTCCTATTCAGTCATAGTTCAAAGTCTGTATTGTTGTTCTTATACCTTTGCATTGACCATGACATGTAGCAACTCTGGGAACAATATATTAAAACCTTGTCATTGTTGTTAAGTGCCATCAAGTTGAGCATAACTCATAACAACCCTATGAACAAAAGATCTGAACCCTGGTCTGTAACTATCATCAATTCTCTAATGTTCATAGAGTTTCTGAAGGCGTGTGGTTTAGGAAGTGGATGCCAATCCAGCTTCCAAGGCTGTCTTAATCTGGGAGCTCCACTAAACACTGTCCACCATTTGTAATTATTATGACAGTGACACACCAGTGGCACAGTGTTCAGCATCTCAGCATCCCCAAGTTATCTCAGTAGAGCAAACTGACAGATTAGTGCTGTAGCACATAGAAGATGTTCTTCCCAAATACAACGAGGCCTGGCCCTTGGGCCCAACCGACCAGGTCCTGATTGACTTAAACAAGAGGCTTCCAGCCCACAGCTGCATGTTAGCTAACTCCAATCAACTCATGATCGTGAGTGTGAAGTAAATAAAACCACCAAAACCACTTAACTTTCAACTAAAGCAAGAAAACCCAAACACCCTATTGAGATTGACTGTGAAGCTAAGGGACGAGATACGTTTCTGTTGTCTGGAGGAGTTTGTAGAAGAGCCATGATGTATTCGCTTTTTAAATGTTTCTACTTATTGCTGTTATTTCCTTCCATCATGTTTAAGTATATCTTGCTGTAATTTTTTTAATTCCTTTTTTTTTTTTTTAAATTTTCATGTGTGCCGTCAAATCAGATCTGACTGGTACAGGAGGAGATTGTCCCTCCTTCTCTAGCAGAGTATCTGGTGGATTTGAACTGTGTACCTCTGGGATTGTAGTGCAGCTTCTTGCCATTAGGCCACCAGAGCTCCCTAATAGGATGCTTAGCTTACTAGTTTTCAGTCTTACTTTCTAAAGTACATTTTAAGGTTATATGCATTTTTTCACTCTATTGATTTATCTATTGATAGGGAGCTTTGGTGGCCTAATGGTAAGAAGCAGCTCTGCAATCTTAAAGGCACATGGTTCAAATCCACCAGCTGCTCCCAGGGGAAAAGGATGGGCAGTCTCTTCCCATGTCGATTAACTGCCTCAGAAAACCCACTGGAGGGTCAACTATGAATAGTTTCCAACTAGATGGCAAACAAACAATTGACTTAGCGGCATTCTAAGGTTTGTTTTTTTTTTTAAATATTTTTATTGGTTTACGTATAATCATTCATATACATTGTGTTTTATATATGTTCTCTGTGTTTTAAATAATCATTCATATATGTTACAGTTTATAGAATTAATTTCCATTGCTCTATGCCTGTTATCTTCCTGTCTTTTCAAACCCCCATTGGACCTTTCCCATTACTTCACCCCCTACTAACCTCTGCTTTCCCAGTGATTTCCCCCTTCCCTTTTTTCAGCCCTTCTTTCCATTTTGAACATTGTTACACATCTTAGTCAGTTATCTTCCTGTTTTCACAATAGTGGCTTTATGCAATATTTGTCCTTATGTGACTGAGATATTTCATGCAGCAAAATGCTCTCCAGTCTCTCCCAGATTATATTGTTGTTATGTGCCGTTGAGTTGCTTGCGACTCATAGCGACCCTATGTACAGCAGCCCTAAACTCTGCTCTGTCCTGTGCCAATTGCACTGTCTCTGACACTCCCATCCCAATTACCTCAGTCACTGAATCAGTCCACCTCATAGAGGACCTTACCCTCCTACGCTGTCCCTCCACCCTCCCAAGCATGATGTCCCTCTCCAAGGACTGGTCCCTCCTTACATCATGTCCAAAGTATGTTAGATGGAGCCTCAGAATCCTTGTCTCCAAGGAGCCGTCCAGTTTAACCCTTTCCAGGATGAACTGGTTTGTTTTCCTAGCAGTCCATGGTACCCTCAATACTCTTCTCTAGTATCAGAGCTCAAAGGCATCAATTCTCCTTCTATCCTCCTTAGTCATTGTCCAACTCTCTGATGCATAACAAGTGATAGCAAAGACCATGGCCTGCATCAGATGCACCTTAGTCTCCAGAGAGACACCGTTGCTCTTGAGTACTTTGGAGAGGTCCCTAACAGCAGACTTTCCCATCGCAATATGTCTTTTAATTTCCTGACTACTGGTGCCAAGAGTGTTGACTGTGGAGCCAAGCAAACTAAAGCTGTGAACAATCTCAATCTTTTCACCATCCATCCTGATGCTGCCAATTGGTCCAGTGGTGAGAATCTTTGTCTTCTTGACATTGAGCCTCAATCCATATTGTAGGCTGCAGTCCTTGACCCTCTGCAGCAGGTGCTTCAGGTCCTCCTCAGTTTCAGCGAGCAGGGTTGTGTCATCTGCATAATGCGGATTGTTGCTAAATCATCCACCAATCCTGACCCCACATTTCTCCTCATAGAGCCCAGCCTCCCGGATAATCTGTTCTGCATATAGGTTGAAAAGGTATGGAGACAGGACACAACCCTGGCATAGGCCCTTCCCAATTTTGAACCATGCAGTGTTTCCTTGCTCTGTTCTGATGACTACCTCGTGGTCCAAGCATAGGTTTCTCATTAGCACGATCAAGTGTTCTGGGATTCCCATTCTTCTCAGAGTCAGCCATAGTTTGTTATGATCCACACAGTAAAACGCCTTTGCATAGTCAGTGAAACACAGACGTACATTCCTCTGGTATTCCCTGCTTTCAGCTAAGATCCATCTAACATTAGCTACAATATCCCTAGTACTATGACCCCTTCTAAACCCAGCCTGGACTTCTGGCAGTTCTCTGCTGATTTGCTGTTCCAGTTGTTTTTGGATAATCTTCAGTGGAATCTTGCTTGCATGTGAAATCAGATTATATAGTATTTTATTAAATCATTGTTCCTTAGTGCTGCGTAGTATTCCATTGTGTGGGTGTACCAGTTTTCTTGTTGATGGGCATTTGGGCTACTTCCGTTTTCTTGCAATCATGAATAATGCTTCTGTGAATGTAGGTGTACACACATTCTACGTTTGAATATGTGATGTAACTTCTGATTTTCAGTATGAGATCTTATTTTGGGTTAATTAGATGTACACTTGCTAATTTCCCATTACTTGTAGAATTTTCCAGTTTAATTTTGCTGATGATTTGTAGTGGAATTGCACTGTGTCTGAAAAGCATATTCAGTGTGATTTTATTCCTCTGCTATTTCTTGAAACTTGATTTATGCTTCCAGGATATCATTGATTTTTTTTGCTACATATTGAATGTTGTTGTTGTTATGTGCCATCGAGTCGTTTGCGACTCATAGCATCCCTATGTACAACAGCCCTAAACCCTGCTCTATCCTGTGCCAATCTCATTGCCTCTGACACACCCATCCCGAGTACCCCAGTCACTGAATCAGTCCACCTCATAGAGGGTCTTCCCCTCCTGCGCTGTCCCTTTACTCTACCCAGCATGATGTCCCTCTCTAAAGACCTGTCTCTCCTTACAACATGTCCAAAGTATGTCAGACGAAGCCCCAGAATCCTTGCCTCCAAGGAGCAGCCTGGTTTAATCCTCTCTACGATGGATGAATCTGTTTGTTTTCTTGGCAGTCCATGGTACATTCAGTACTCTTCTCCAGCACCACAGCTCAAAGGCGTCAATTCTCCTTCTATCCTCCCTAGTCATTGTCCAACTCTCTGATGCATAACAAGTGATTGCAAAAACCATGGATAGAATCTAAAATTTTAAGATACTGATGTAACATTTCATAAACAGATAATCTTGCACTTTTTAACACTTTACTTTTATGAATAATATACTTTACCATCTGTTTTCCCTAAACAAAAGAAATTCAAAGAAGATTGTAACTTGTACCCAAAAAAGGTAGGACACAAAATGCATGTTCCGTGTGTATTTGCTGTGAGCAGCAGGTAGCACGAGTGGTGTCAGACAGCGTCTGCATCCGTCTCCACTGCGCTTAGTGCACTGGGCTCATCAGGCATTTTGTGTGGGAGCAGTGCCATGAACACTGTATGTTAGTGTGTAGGGTTCAGGCGCTGTTTGGAACCACTTAGTACATTCTTTTGTGTTTATGAACACTCAGAATTTTTTCCCCTACATAGTAATAACCTTTTTACACTATTTTGGCTGATGGAAGATTTTGTAGAGTACTTCTGTTTTGGAGATAGCTGGGGAAACCTGTATGTCTATTCAAAAACAAAATAAAAAACACCAAAACCTCATTATCATCTGGCTGGAACCACCTCAGCGCTGGCCCCCTGCGGGGTTTCCGGGCTGTCCTGAGCAGGAGGACATTGTCCGTCTCTCCTGCAGAGCCACCTGGACTTGACTCCCCAGGGACAGCGCCAGCAGAGTGCCTGAATTGACTGATGGCTTTCTGTCTGCTTGATGTCAGTCTCCCGGAGGGATCAACCACTAAGTTTGTGAAGTTGCCTTATTTCTTCTTGGTCTTTTATTGCATCATTTCCCCATTCCCTTTCCCCTTTTGGACTTTTATCTATATCTTATTAGTTATCCTTCTGTTTTCACAATAATGGTCTTATGCTCTCTGTATTTTAGTGTGTGTGTGTGTGTGTGTGTGTGTGTGTGTGTGTGTGTGTGTACCGTCAAATCGGATTGTCCCTTCTTCCGCAGCAGAGCTTCTGGTGGATTCGAACCGTGCACCTCTGGGATTGTAGTGCAGCTTCTTGCCACTTGGCCACCAGAGCTCCCTGCTCTCTGTATTTTTGAGATGTGATTTTGCTATGTACTATTGTTACGTCTTGGTGATTTGGACTTCGCATTGGTATAAAGTGACCTTTTTCTCTAATTATACATCTTCACAATTTTTTGTACACTGTTTGTATAACTGCATAGACTTTTTTGGTTTTGGTTGTAGTTTGTATTCTTTGGTTTGGTTGGTATTTGTTGTTTTGGTTTTTTTTTCTTTGTACTATCCTTTTACTTTCAGCCTCTTTATGATTTTAGGGAGCTCTGGGGGCCTAGTGGTAAGAGACTGTGCTGCAGTCCCAAAGGCAAGCAGTTTGAGTCCAGCAGCTGCTCATGGGAGGAGGATGGGCAGTCTCCCTCCGTGTGATTTACCACCTCTGAAAACCCACTGGAGGGTCGCCTGTGAGCTGGTTCTAACTCGATGGTACACAGCACCAACAATCACAGTGTGACTTTTTCTTTTAATTGTGTTTCTTGTAAAATACAGCTGAATTTGGCTTACTTTAGTAGCATTGTACAACTATATGGACTAACAGCTATGCAGTTGCCATTCTCACAAGCCTTTTCTTTTTCAATTTTAGGCAGAACTCAAAAGCTTGATGGACAATGCCTCTTCTTCCTTTGAATTTGCTAAAGAACTCATCAGGCATAACCTGGTCAGTAACTGTTTCCCATCTGACTGACTTGAAACCCATCCCTCAGCCCTCTCATCACCACACTTCCCATAGTACGAAGGGAAGCAACAGTCCCAGCAGCAGCACCCTAGTCCAGGGAGCTATGGAGAAGAGCAGGAGCTTAGAAAATTCCGGAACTTGGACAAGTGCTGATAGGAGAACAGTGTGGATCCCAATGTTAGTTTTAGGGCCAAAGGAACATGTCTTTGTGGGGTAGAGTAAGTGGGAAAGGTTTTTCTGGTGAAAGGAACACTTATGCCAGTTGGTTCTAAGCAAAGACATGGAATGAGAACACGGACAGCAGATATAAAGAGTGCTGAGCAGCTTGATCTAACTGGCATGGGAAGTTTGACCTGGGCAGTAGTGCAACGTGAAGTTGGATGTGCAGTGGGTTCCCGAGGGTTGGGCTGGACTACGATGACCGTGGCTGAAAATATCCAGGCCCAGGTTGCCTTTGATTCTGTTGACCTTGCATCATAGTGAGAAGCAGAGCAGCTGCTTCCATCACAGAGCTTAGGCCACTGGGCACATTGTTCACTGTTGCTGACGCCCAAATTCCTGGTCTAAAACTGGGCATGAGAGTGGCCACGCCTCTCCCTTCTGAGCGAGTGCTTCATTTCTTTAGTGGCCTCTCTCCCATCTCTCCACTGAATACCTCCCTGCCCTGTGTCTCCAGTGTCCACAGACCCACGAAGCCCGTCATCCTGTCTCTGTGATATCTCCTTCCGCTCCCTCGCTGATTGTAGTACTTGAGTGCTTCCCAGGATGGTTCACACCTCCATTCTTTGCACTTCTAGTCTTGCCTTTAAATTAAACCCAGATTAGATTTTTGGGTTTTTTAAGAACTCAGATTAAGTTGTATGGCAATCAATGAGTTAAAAATAGTGTTCTAGCTGGCTTTGACAAGCACTGTGGCATTTGGACAAGAACAAACTGGGAGGAGGGTAGAGAGAATAGTGCAACAATGAATGAGTGGAAGCCCAAAATCTCTGTAAATGTTTATGAAAATTAATAAAATATAATTATAGAAAAAAAAATAGTGTTCTAGAACTCTAACTTGGACAGAGTTAAAGCCTGGAGAATAGCTTTAGGAATTTAGAGAATTGATTGCTGAAATCCTAACAAATGTGAAAGAAAAGATTAAAGCTAGAAAAATATGGTTGCAAGGGAATATCTGTGTTTAAACAATCAAAGGAAGAATAATCAACAAAGGTGACAGAAAAGGACAGGCAGGAAAGAGTGTATAAGCAGTGCAGTGTGCTGTCACCAGAGCATGTCTGCAGTGCAGTGTACTGTCACATTCAGTTGGGGGCTCAGCCTGACTGCTGGCTGGCACAGCACTGTTACGGTGTTACAGTCACCGCACTGCTGGCTGGGCGCCCTCACTGTAATCCTGTTACAGTCACTGCGTCAGTCCCTCTTGTTAAGGATCTTCCTCTCTTCCTCTGACCTTTCTCAGCATGTTATCTTTTTTCTAGGACTGATCCTTCCTTGCCCAAAGTATGTGAGATGATACGTTTCAACTTCCTCATCTCTAAGGACTGCACTGGTCAGACTTCCTCGAAGACAAACAAATCCAAAGGATTTTGGATAAACAGAGGATAAACAATCCTTTGGCAGTTCATGAGATAGTCAGTACTTTTATTCACCACCACAATTAAAAGACATCAATTTTCTGTCATATTTAGTTATTGTTCAATTTCTCATTGCATAGGAGCAATTGAAAAGACCATGACTTATATCAGCTGCACCTTGGTCTTTAAACTGACATCATTGCTCTTTAGCACTTTGGAAAGGTGCTTGACAGCTAATTTGCGCAACTCAATATGTGTTTTGATTTCTTGAGTGCTGCTACCATAAGTGTTGATTGTGTATCCAAGTAAAATGAAATCTTGGTAACTTCAGCCTTATCCCCCTCTATCTTGATTTGTGCTTTTTCCTTTCCTATTAGATGTCAGTGTGAAGATTAAAGTGTGCTTGATTCAGGCCATGGTCTTTTCAGTCCCTTGCTCTGCATCTGAGAGCTGGACAATGAATAAAGATGACAGAAGAATTGATGCCTTTGACCTGTGGTGTTGGAGAAGAGTACTGAATATCCTATGGACTGCCAAAAGAACACACAGATAGATATGTCTTGGAGAAGGTGCAGCCAGAATTCTCTTTGGAGGCAAAGATTATAAAGCTTCGTCTCACATACTTTGGGCATTGTTACTATGAGAGGCTATTCCTTGGAAAGGGACATCATGCTTGGAAAGGTGGAGGGAGAGCAAAGGAGAGGAAGACCCTTAACTCGATGGATTGACACAGTGACTGCAGCAATGGGCATGAGTGTCTCAGAATCAGTGAGGATGGCACAGGGTAGGACAGGGTTCGGATCTATTGTTCATGGGGTCGCTATTTGACTTGACAGAACTTCACAACATTAGATACTTTAAAGTTCTTCCAGCCTCTCCTCGGTCCCCAGTTTGCAGATTTATGTTTTAGGCAGTTGTTAGTTGTTAGAGGAGCCCTGTCACTTTTGGTGCCAATTTCCTCTAAGTTCTCCAGTGGTTCTGTAACCACAAATGGGTGGATGACTTTTAACAGGAGACCTGTATCTCCTTGACGTTTAGGCGGCTAGGAGTCTGAATTCAGAGTCTTGGCTCTAGAGGGCGCCTCTTGTGTGCCTGAGGAAGGTCCTTACTCCTGGGTTCCGTGGAAATCTTTGCGCCCTTCTCCCGTCTCCTCTTACTTACTCTGCTCCTTTTATATTTGCACAAGATTGACTCCTGACACAGTGTTCAGTAAGCCTGCTTTGTGACGTAACCCGAGCGCCCATTCCCTGATGGCAAGTACCCACCAGCATGGTGATTAAACTTCACAGCACAGGTTTCTGGTGTGCCGTGTAATGCATAATAGTGAATGTCTTCATTTTCCCTCTTTTTTTTAAAAAAAAAATTAATTTTAATGCAAGTTTACAGAGACTTAGGGTTTCCAGTCATTCATTGTTGCACTTTTCTCCCTCCGCACTCCCTCCCCCGATTCACTCTCGTTTTCCCTCTTATAGTATTGTGGTTTTTCCTCAGTAAACATATACTGCAGTTAAACATCAATGTTAAAAAGTTTTTATAAAGAATACTTTTATAGTTCCAGCAGTCTGGAAAATATTGAGACAATACAAATCTTGTTAGTAACATCAACTTTTTTTAAAAATTTTTTTATTAATAACGTCAACTTTTAAAGTTAACTTGAGGTCAGGTTCACTCCACACCATGTACTAGCCTGTGACTCTGGGCATGTTGTTTACCACTGTGGAGTCCTGGTGTCCTCATGCACAGAACTGGGGCATCACGGTGCCTCCCTCTTATCTGTGCAGGTCAGAGAGGTCCTGTGTGAGCTTGTCCAGTCCTGGCTCTTGGGGAGCAGAGTTCTCCCTGGCGTCCTCTGGCTTCAGTGTCAAAGTTGCAGTGGGATCAAGGAGCGAGAGAACTGAAGGAGCACGAGGAATTTAGGCAAAGGGGGAGATTTGTGCCTCCTGAAAATATACTTACTAGTGGTAAGGAGCTGTGCCGACAGCTCAGAGGCACAGGGTTTGAGGCTGCCAGCGGCTCGCAGGAGAAAAGATGGGCAGTCGCCTTCTGTGCAGTTTACTGCCTCTAAAAACCAACCAGAAGGGAGCCCTGGTTGCCTAGTGGCAGGAAGCTGTGCTGCAATCCCCAAGTCGCTCAGTTCGAATCCATCAGATGCTCTGCTGGAGAAGGAGTGGCGGTTGCCTCCTGTGCCAGTCAGATCTGATTGGACAGTACACAACCCGACTCCTGCTACACTGGTCACATTCTGGGGGTTGAAGGGCATGTAGGGACACACAAGGCTGCCTGTCCCTGGAGCTCTGGGCTTGGGCTAAGGAAAAGCAGATAAAGAAATAAGTAGTAAAATGTGGTGATGAACATGAAGACAGTTACAGCTTAGAGTACCAGTGGTGGTAGTTTATGTAGTGTCAGAAAGACTTGGCTATGCCAGGTCTGTGCAGAGGCAGGGGAAGCCAGAGCGGGGGGCATAGTCTGTGCTGGGCGGTCAGTCAGCCACTGAGGGGTCCTCAGAATGATCAGGAGCCCCAGTGTTCTTCGAGTTTGATAGCCAGGGGCTGTGTCTTGTCAGCTATCACACGGATGTGTTTTCTCTTTCTAGGTGGTTTTCCGCGGTGGGGAAGGGGCTCTGCAGGTCTTGCCCCCCCTGGTTGATGTCATTCCTGAAGCGAGGCTGAACTTGGTCATTTACTACCTCCGCCAGGGTGAGAAGAGCGTCTCGGTGGGTTTTACTTATAACAAGACATTCTAGAACATCTGCTCTCTGGATCGGTTAGGTTCCGTGTGGGTCTGCTAACTGATAGGTTGGTGGTTTGAACCCACCAGCTGCTCCGTAGGATCAGGAGGAGGCTGTCTGCCCCCCATCAGATTTACAGCCTGGGAGACCTGATGGGGTCGTTGGACTCCACTTGACAGAAGGGCATGGTCTCTGAGTGGTGTGGTTCCAGCAGATGGTCTTTGAGTGGGGTGACCTCTGAGTCGTAGGACGTCGGTGGGTGATCCCTGAATTGGAGCCTGGTGGCAAGTCAAGAGTTCAAACCCACCAGTCCCTCCCCAGAAGATGAGGCCGTCTGCTCCCCGCAGGCGGTTCTGCTCTGTCCTGTAGGGTCACTCTGAGTCAGAATTAACTTAGCAGCAACAGATTGTATCTTTAGTCCGTAATTGAGGAGCCCCATGGTACAGTGGTCAAGCACTCATGTTGGCACAAGAAGGTTGGTGGTTTGAATCCATCCAGTGGCTCCATGGCCGACAAACTTGGTCATCTGCCCCCAGAGAGATTCCAGCCTAGAAAACCTGGAGGGCAGTCCTAGTATACGGTTGCTGTGAGTCGGAATCAGCTCCATGGTTCACAACAGCTGTGTCTGATTGAAGTTGAAATCCATCATATTCCAAAAAGAGGCGTGCACCAGGCTTCCAGGACAGACAGATCGATGGGTGCTGGGTTTTGTGTCTTCTCTCCTAGCCTTTTTCTCTTGTGCTGCTTCCAGCCTTCCCCTTGAGCCCGGTTCTTGCTGCCCGCTGGCTTTCCTGTCCTTTGCTCGCTGTTCTGCACCCTCCTCCTCTCCGTTTTCCCGGCCCCTCTTAGTTCTTAGATCTCCTTCTGTTTAACACCCGTCCCCACTCTCTTCTTCCCCTCCCCCTTTATTTGTTTTTTATTTGCTTTCATTTTCTACCTATGGCTTTTTATGAGAGATGACAGAACTCAAAGAGAATTCTTTGAGGACACTTGCCCCTAAGCAGGGTTAAGATTGCCCGCCACATCCCTAATCTAGCCCTTTATTGGTGGCCACAGGGGGCACAGCCTCCTGGTGTAGACCTCTGTAAGGTGCACAGTCGACAGTGCCATCCTGCTTCCCACGAGAGCTTGCGTTTGACAGATGGCCTTTTCCCTGGTTCCACCCCAGAAGAGTCTGCTGAGTGCAGGCGCAGTCACTGTTTATGTCTTGTTTTTCAGATGATGTACAAGAAGCTTATAACTTAATCAAGGATCTGGAGCCAACTACTCCGCAGGTAACTGAGCTCCCGCCGTGTCTTCACTCACCCAGGCTCTGTGGAGAGTCACAGAACTTAAGACACACAGTGGAAGGCACTTGGGGGGGGAGGGCTGCATGTGGACCTCCAGGAAGGATCCCAGGTATTGCCCCTCGGCTGCCATGTGCCCGTGAGTCACGCTTTCTGTGTCAGTGAGAGTTGGTACTTCTTACACGTGTAAACTCCCTACCGGGTGGTCGTCTCTTCACAAGGGTCAAGATTTGTAAATATTCACATCGAGTGGCGCGTTCTCAGTACGGCAAACCTCACCACCTTCTGTTTGTTTTCCTTTGAGTACATCCTCTCGGTTTACGCAGTGTTAGAGCATGTCACTTGCTAGTGTTTTAATTGTCACGCCAACCCACAGGGAGCAGTTTATAAAGGTACTTGTAGAAAAGACGATAGCAGTGTCAGCTAACAGAGTGCCAACCAGCGTACAACCGAGTAACCCAGGGCCAAGCGCCATCAGAGGCTGGGGGCTGCCAGTTCACCTGCCTCGCTGTGGAGATGCTCACACTGAGCTTTCTCTGCCAGGTGGGCGCTGCCTGCACCGTGCTGTCCCCATGGATTGTCCGCTGTCGTAGTCAGTGGTGTGTTCTTGTTCTGTCATATTGCCAGCACCACGTACAGGGCCCGGGACACAGCAGGTGTTCCTCTCACGAAAGAAAATGTGCCCGGGCCCTGTGGAATCTAAACATGCACATTCCTCAGATGTACGGAGCTTCAGCATCCTTCATACCTGGCCCTTCATCGGCCTCCTGACTAAACACAACCGCCATATAAAACTACTCCCCATAAAAACAGCAGAAGAAATAGGGGAAGTCTCCTCCTTAGTGATTAACTGCCTCTGAAAACCCACTGAAGGGTCAGCTATGGGTCCGTTCCAACTCAACAGTACACAGCAACATAAAAACAGCCCCCACATAACAACTGGCACAGCTTCCAAGGAGGTTATCCACTAAAGGCTTCAACCAAATCTTTATGTGAGGCCCCAGGATTCTAAAAGAAAGAAGGCCTTACCCAGGGGAGCCAGAGGGGCGATTGCTTCCTGAAGGAATGATCATTGTTGTTGTTGTTATGTGCTGTCAAGTTGCCTGCAACTCATAGCCACCCTGTGTACAGCAGCCCTAAACCCTGCTCTATCCTGTGCCAATTTTACTGTCTCCAACACACCTACTCCAATTACCTTAGTCACTGAATCAGTCCACCTAATAGAGGATCTTCCTCTCCTGCGCTGTCCTTCCACCCTCCCAAGCATGACATCCCTCTCCAAGGACTGGTCCCTCCTTGCAGCATGTCCAGAGTATGTCAGATGAAGCTTCAGAATCCTTGCCTCCAAGGAGTAGCCTTGTTTAACCCTATCTAGGGTGAACCTATTTGTTTTCTTAGCAGTCCATGGTACATTCAGTACTCCAACACCACAGCTCGAAGGCATCAATTCTCCTGTTATTCCTAGTCATTGTCCAGCTCTCTGATGCATTGTAAGTGATTGCAAAGTCCATGGCCTGTATCAGGTGCACCTTAGTCTACAAAGTGACATCATTGCTCTTCAGTGCTTTGGAAAGGTCTCTGACAGCAGACTCTCCCATTGCAATGTGTCTTTTAATTTCCTGGCTGCTGGAGCCAAGAGTATTGATTATGGATCCAAGCAAACTAAAGATGTAAACAATTTCAATCTCTTCACCATCTACCCTGATGCTGTCAACTGGCCCAGTGGTGAGAATCTTTGTTTTCTTGATATTGAGCCTCAATCCATGTTGAAGGCTGTGGTCCTTGACCTCCTACAGCAAGTGTTTCAGGTTCTCCTCAGTTTCAGCAAACAGGGTTGTGTCATCTGCATAACAAAGATTGTTGATGAATCTTCCTCCAGTCATGATGCCACATTTCTCCTCCTAGAGCCCAGCCTCCCAGATAATCTGTTCTGAATGTAGATGGAAAAGGTATGGAGACAGGACACATCCCTGGCATACACCTTTCCCAATTTTGAACCATGCAGTGTTTACTTGCTCTGTTCTGATGATTGCCTCTTGGTCCATGAATAGGTTTTGCATTAGCACGATCAAGTGTTCTGGGATTCCCATTCTTCTCAGAGTCAGCCACAGTTTGTTATGATCTACACAGTCAAACGCCTTTGCATAGTCAATGAAACACAGATAGACATTCCTTTGGTATTCCCTGCTATCAGCCTAGATCCATCTAACATTAGCTACAATATCCTAGTACTACGACCCCTTCTAAACCCAGCCTGGACTTCTGGCAGTTCTCTGCTGATGTGCTGTTCCAGTCGTTTTTGGATAATCTTCAGCAGAATCTTGCTTGCATGTTAGATCAATGATATTGTTCTATCGTTTCCACACTCTGTTGGGTCACCTTTCTTTGGAATAGGAACAAATATAGATCTCTTCCAGTCAGTTGGCCAAATGGTTGTCATCCAGATTTCTTAGCACAACTTAGTGAGCACGTCCAGGGCAGCATATGTTAGTGGAAATGCATCAAATTAGTACACCATCAATTCCTGGGGCCTTATTTTTTGTCAATTCTTTCAAAACAGCTTTAACGTCTTCCTTCACCACAGATTCTTGCTGATACATTGTTTCATAAAATTCTTCTGTGTCTGCTAATTCCTTTTGGTACAATGACCGTATACTCCTGCCATCTTCTTTTTTTTAAAAAATTTGTTTTATTTCATTATTTGTGTGTGTGTGTACCATCAAATCACATCTGACTGGTACAGGAGGAGATTGTTCCTCTTTCTCCAGCAGAGCATCTGGTGGATTTGAACCGTGCATCTGAGATTGCAGTTGCAGCTTCTTGCCACTAGGCCACCAGAGCTCACCGCCATCTTCTTTTAATACATCCAGGATCATTTAATATTCTGCCCAAAGCGTCCATAAATATTGCAACTCGAGGTTTGAATTTGTTCTTCAGTTCCTTGAGCTTAAGAAATACTGAGCGAGTTTGGCCCTTTTGATTTTCTGACACAAGCTCCTTGCACATTTCATTTTAATACTTTACTTTGTCTTCCTGCACTGGCTTTTGAAATCTTCTGTTCAGCTCTTTAATATATTTCTTCCCTCTGCTTTGGCTTCTAGTGCTCTAGTGCGATATCCAGAGTCTCTTCTGACATCCATTTTGGTCTTTTCTTCTTCCTCTGTCTTTGTGATGACCTTTTGCACTCTTCCTGGATCTTCTTGAGATCCTCCCACAATTCATCTGGTCTTCGCTCATTGGTGTTCAAGGCCTCAAACCTGTTCCTGAGTAGAAGAAAATGTGATGTCTTTGGCAGAGGAAAAGAACCCACACGACGTCGGCACAGAGTGGCAGTGGCTGCTAAGAAGCCGGAGTGGGTCACAGACGCAAATCGCTGCTCTTCCCTGTGGGACTGAAATCAGGCAAACCTCATCTCTCGGAAGCTTCCACGGAGTTACTACAGCAGCGGAGTGAGAACTTCTGGCGAGGGACCTTCTGTCCCATGGTCACTTGTGTCCTGGGAATTGAGCTGACAGTCTCTCAACTCTGTCATCTAAGCCAGGGACAGACAGAGAAGGGTGAGCAGGTCTCTTGTGCTGCTGTGTACCAAGGGTCCAGTCACTGTAAAGGGTTAGGAGCAGAAGTCTCATGGCCCAGCATTCCTGTCAGAGTAACCACTGCTGCTTCTTGTTTGCAGGAGTATATCCTCAAGGGAGTGGTCAATGCAGCCCTCGGCCAGGAAATGGGGTCGGTGAGTCACCGGGGTGTATAGGCTCTGGGGAAGATCAAAATGAAAGTCAAACAATGGGCAGTGAGCTCTGTAGTGGGCCCTTCTGAGGTCCCTTCATTTGCCCATGTTGTTTAGTCCAGATTCCATTTATAAGAAACTGTGTGGTGTGTGAGGAGGGAGGAAATGGAAAATACTAATGATCATTACTTTGTCTTAAAAGAGGTTTATATCCATCGACCACAGTCCTAAAACATAACACTGTGGCCTCTGAACTGCAGGCCCGTGCTCCCCCTCCCCCAACCTTGCGCCTTGCTCCTCTGTAATTTCTTCATCTGCAAAAACCAAATGGGGAGAACTGTGTTTCTGGGAAAGCTTTTGCTACACCGCACACTCTGGCTATTGCTCAGCTTGTCCTCTTTTTTTTTAAAAAAAAATTATTAAAAAAATTATTATTAATTTCAGTGAAAATTTACAGACTTTGGATTTCCATTCATTCATTGTTGCACTTTTATCCCCTCCCAACTTCCCCCCCCAGTACACTACCCTCTTGGAAAAGTAAAAAAAAAATTCTTTCATTTTTTTTTTTTTATTATTTTGTGCATGTACCGTCAAATCGGATCTGACTGGTACGGGAGGAGATTGCCCCTCCTTCTCCAACAGAGCATCTGGTGGATTTGAACTGTATACCTCAGGGATTGCAGTGTAGCTTCTTGCCACTAGACCACCAGAGCGCCCCTGAAAAAGTCTTTCATTGTTTTACAATCCCTACTCCTAGGTCCACTCCACTATGCAGCCTTCTCTGGACTCCTGTCATGACAAAAATACCTAATCACATATCCCTTCTAAACAGTTTTCTCCCTCATCTGTTTCAATGCAATATGTGTTATTAAACCCATCTTTCTCAAGTCTCTCCCCAGCCGCAATGTCGGTCCTATTTTACAACAGTGGCACTGTGCAATATTTGTCCTTCTGTGACTGAGATACTTCACTCAGCATAATGTCCTCCAGGGTCCCCCGTTTTGAATAATATTGCATGAGTTCCTTGTTTTTCTGCTCATCCTCATTTTAACACACAATATTGAGTTCCTAGAGCAGCCCTAGCCTTGTCACTGAGCAGACTCCACCTCACGGCAGCCCCGGCGGACAGAGCAGAGCTGCCTCGTGGCGTGTCTGGGCTGGAATGTTTAGGATGCATTCTGCCACACCGTTCGCCTGTGGAGCAGCCTTGGGTTCTCACCACTCAACTTCCAGTTGGCAGCCGAGTGCTTAGCCACTGCACCACCAGAGTTTCTCCTTGGAACAAAAATCTCAAAAAACCATACCCTGCCCTCGTGTCAGTCTCCATTCGTGGTGAGCGTCTGTCGGGTTCCAGGGTGGTAGATCCATCCAGGAGGTGACAGGCTGCCCTCTTGCTTACAGAGTGGCCGGCAGATTCCAACAGCGGCCAAAACATAACGCAAGTAACACAGGGACCCAGGGCCGCTATTTAAAATAAACCTTTTTTGTCACCACCTCACTCCACTTTGCCTATACAGTAAGATAGGCAATAAATATTTGTTGAATAAAAAAAAATTTATACAAAATTAATCTAATAAATACTAATTGTTAAAACTGTAGTTCCTACTACTGGGTCCGATATGTGGAAAAGCAGCCAGAAGCATCTGTTGAACGAGTAAATGGATGAGGGCTATTAGGACAGAGCTGGGTGATTGCAATGCTTCTCATCTTTTCTATCAGGATTTCATTGCTTCTGGTTTCCTTTTCCCAATTGCTTGTGTTAAGGATTAGTATTGTTTTTGCCACAAGTTAACCAGGGCGTATGTGAGATATTGACAGATACAAAGTATAACCGTGATCCAAATTAGATGTTTTTGTCATCTCCGTGACTCGTGGCTGCTGTTTTCAGAGGGACCACATGAAAATCGCTCAGCAGTTTTTCCAGCTGGTGGGAGGATCGGCCAGTGAGTGTGGTGAGTGTCAGGTCCGTGCTGTGGACCGTGATCGTCGCTGGGGGCGTGTGTCCATCCTCTGGGGAAGTTTGGCTCTGTCCAGGGCCCGGCCTGTGAAAAGCCTCTGTACAGAAGGGGACAGGAGAGAAGATGGAGTCACCTCCCTCTGCTTGGTCAGGAGGGATGCGCATCCGCCCGGGAGAATGAGTGCGTTCCTTTCCTCATGGCAGCTTTAAAGTGTTGAGTTAGGCTTAGTGTTAGAGTTTATTGCCATCAGGATTTCTTTCCATACTCACCTTTTGTCATGTTGCAGATGCTTTTCTCTGGTGGCTCGTTTGTATATTATGTTACTTGACAGTATTTTTTGTGTTTAAAAAGAGTAAGTTCTTTCTCTCTAATGATTTCTTACATGGATGGCAAGCTTAAGGAAAGTGCTTTTGTACTCACAGTTATATGCTGTTCTTTTCTTTTTCCACGAGTAGGTTTTTTGTTTTCGTTTTTGTTTTTTTTTAATCATATTCATGGTAAAATTGTCTCATAGTGGATTTTTGTTTAATTTATTTTACTATTTTTTTTGTGTGTGCACTGTCAAATCAGATCTGACTGGTGCAGGAAGAGACTGCCCTTCCTTCTCCAGCAGAGCATCTGGTGGATTTGAACTGCGTACCTCTCGGATTGCAGTGCAGCTTCTTGCCACTAGGCCACCAGAGCTCCCTTCCACTAGTAGTTTTGTGACTTCAGTTTTGTATTAAAGTACAGGTTTCATCAGTCACTTGGAGGTTAGGCTGGAGAAGGGACCCATCGATGGGCTCAGTGTGTGAATCAGCGAGCGGCGCTGGGAGCCGTCTGTGGCCCCCAGTGCTCTGACTCATCCCTGTTCTCGCTGCAGCAAAACCCCCAAACCTGTTGCCTTCCAGTAGATCCTGACCCCCGAGTCTCCCAGGTCCTAAGTCTTTGTGGAAGGAGACTGGCCATCCTCCGGTGGGAGGACCCAGCTGGTGGGTTCAGTCTGCCGACTTTTTTATTAGCCACCCAGCACCCTTCCACGGTGGCTCCTTGTCCCCGCTGGACCGGCGGTGAAATATTCTTATCACGCCTGAAGCTGTCTTGTCTTTTAGGGGTTTAGCAGCACTGTTTATTTAGTATTTCCATTCTTCATTCGTTCATTCATGCAACAGAAATCTATTGAGATGATGAGGACACAGCAATAAACAGAGCAAACAAAAGCCCTCCCCCCTGCCCCTGGCGCTTCCTGTGCTTTGGGGACAGTCCTGTACCAATCACAACAGCCAGCCGGTGCAGGACAGCAGGCTGTGATAGTGCAAGGGAAACGTGCACGGGGAAGCCAGCCCGGTGGGCCCTCCACACCTCTGCCCTGCCAGTAGGAGTTGGCTGTCAGACACCACCTGGCTCAGGTCTGCTGCCCTGGGGATGACAAGTGCTGGCTTGTCCTAGGCAGGTAGCAGTGGGAAGGAGCCTTACTTGTCCCAATGCAAGCAATGGAGCTGGAGGAAGAGGGGGCTTGGAGCCAGTTTCCCCTGCAGGCTGCTACTTAACCTGGGGCCTGGAGAGGTAACTCAGGGGGACAGGCCACTCCAAGCACCCTGACCCTGTCCTGTCCAATTCTTTTGAGCTGAACAAAATCCATCATTCTGAATCTAGAGGGACGTGTTGGGATATAGGCCTGTCTCTGTTAGAAAATACCCCATCTGTCAGCCCATAGGATGGCTGGATTATGTGAGCATGTGGTGTCTCTGCCTGTGTTTCAGATACGATCCCGGGGAGGCAGTGCATGGCTTCCTGTTTCTTCCTGCTGAAGCAGTTTGATGACGTCCTCATTTACCTCAACTCCTTCAAGGTCAGTTGGCTGAGGAAGTTGGGTGCTGAGGACTCGCTCTGTGTGGATGTGGAGTGTGTGCTCATTCCTTAGTTGTGATTGTGTGTTTATCTGGCACAACTGGTGCTGTTGTGTCTCACGTGTTAACACTCAGCGTCCCCTGACCTGGGCTGTTTTCCAGAGTTACTTCTACAATGATGACATCTTTAACTTCAATTACGCACAAGCCAAAGCAGCGACAGGCAACACCAGCGAGGGAGAAGAGGTGGGTGCCGATTGCAGCTCTGCTCAGAAGTCACAGGGAAAAGGGAAGGCATATCACAAGTGCCTTTGTTGTTAGGTTGCATTGAAAATTACAGTAAGAGTAGATATGCAGATATCACCAGAATAATCATATTACATGTCTTCCTTTATTTAAAGATTGTCTTAGAAACTATAACACATGTGCAGAAAACTATACTAATCATCAATATATACCTTAATGAATCTTCATCAAGTTTCAAAAATTTTCCTATTATCTGATTGGTACCAGGCCATGAAGTATCATCAGAACCCTATTTGTTCAGCTATTGTTTCCTTTTGAGGGACTGCCCCTTCCTACAAAGGCTAACCACTACCCTGCCTTCTAATGCTATTGTTTACAGATTTTATCTACTAGAACTGTGACAATGTTTGAAATACTAGTGGTGTGATCTTTAGGGAGCTTGCAGCTGATCCAAAGGCCACGACTCTCTGGAGGTTTGAATCTGCCAGCAGCTTCCTGGAGAAATTATGACTTACAGCTTTACACACACACTGGAGGGTCAGCTGTGAGTCAGTGAACACCCTGAACCTGTCTTATGGTGACCGTATATAGTCACTTCTGTCCAACTGCTAGTTAGTCATAGAGTATGTGTATGTTTGGCTTCTGTTGAGGACAGGTTGTTTTCCCAGGTGGTGGGACTCATTTACACAATCCCAGCAGTGGACGCAGTTACCCCTGTCCTTGTCAGAGCTCAGCGTTCTGTTTGCTCGCTTGAACCAGTGTTCTGACACATAGGACTGCTGTGTTAGAGGCTTCATTTGCATTTCCTGATTGATAATGTCACTGGCTTCCCTTTCATGTGTGGGGTTTTGTCTGTCTGCTGGATAGCCTCTTTTATGAAGCCTTCACTCAAGCCTTGGTTCAGTAATTCACCTTTTCACTTTATTAACGGTGTCTGTTGATGAATAGGGAGCTCTAGTGGCCTAGTGAGTAAGGCATTGCACTGCCATCGCACCATCCAGTGGTTCAAATCCACCAGCGGCTCCACAGTAAAAGGTGGGCAGTCTCCTCTTGCGTGATTTACTGCTTCTGAAAACCTGGTGTAGAGTCAGCTGTGAGCTGATTTCAGTTTGACAGCAGTAAGGATTCTTTAACTGATGAATGGAAGATTTCCATCTTACCTGGATTTTAAAACGTTTTCTTTTGTGGCTTTGCTGCTTCTGTGTACTGTGTGGTGTACTTGTATTTATTATTCCGTCTCCTGTCAGTAGGAGACAAGTGTCCCAGGCAGGGCTTTAGTCTCTCTCGCGTCAGAAGTGTCCACACACCTGGCACTTAGTAGGAACCCAGGATGCTTTTGTTGGATGAACGCATAAATGAATGAATTGGTCACTCTGAGGGTCATAATGTTGAACAGAGAAAAAGGGGCCGAAAATGCATGTAGTCAGGTTTCATTTATAAAAAATTAAAAATCAGAAAAGTGAACTGGTTTAGACACGTGAAAATTTGTAAACAAGAAACCTGAAAAGGCTCTTTCTGAGAGAGGCAGATGCCAAAGCTGGAATCCCGTACGACCCGTCAGACCCTGTGGGACAGAACCGAGCAGCCCCATAGGGGTGCCAGGTGGTGAATCCTCAGAAAACGGCCAGCCTCAGCTTTTCCCGTGCAGAACCGCTGACCCCTCGCCAGCTGCTGGACATGTCTTACCTTAAATATAGTGATGGGTCCGTACTTAGACATTGTTTCTTTTTCTTTGTTTTAATTTTTATTATTTTTGTGTGTGTGTACCATCAAATCGGATCTGACTGATATAGGAGGAAATTGCCCCTCCTTCTCCAACAGAGCCTCTGGTGGATTTGAACCACGTCCCTCTGGGTCTTTTTCTTTATTCTTTACTCTTGTTTTATAATTGTTTTTATGGATTCAGTGTTTTATTACATTTTTATGAAAAGCATATTGATCAGGATAGCTGTTCAGGTCTGTAGGAGTATATGACAGAGCACACGTAATTCTGTATTTTGTCAGAACGCAGGTAAAGCACGCCATTACCGCTCTCAGCTCTGGCCACCTCGCAAAGTTAGACCATTCTGGTTCACATTGTCTGGTGTCATCACCACCCCAGGGGCTCTCGTGGACTCCCTGTTGTCACGTGAATACCGGGGGATGTGTGTGTGTTACTGGGGTCTTTGCACTTGCTGGTGAGCATATTAAAGTGTGCATACAGACCCTTCTGTGGGAAGCTCTGTCTAGAGGCGCACGCCAGGGCCTTTGTCTGGGGCTGTTAGTGCAGAGAACGTAGACGCGTTATCTACTCAATACAGACTGTCATTATCGTCTCTGATTTCCAACACCTCACTCCTCACTAGGCTCAGTGTTAACACCATAGCTCCAGCCCAGAATAAAACATAAAGCAGAAGACTCAGGCTATTCAGTATTACCCTCACAAAAGCTTCCTCCTACAGCCATGGCCCAGATTGGGAGGGCGAAGCCCTGGATGCTCAGCTTTGCTTTTCTCTTGGTAAACGTGAAGCCTAACCTGAGCTGGTGGGGCTCTTAGCCTCACATACTGCTGAAGCCGTGAGTGTCCTGCAGTCCAAGTTCTAGAAGGCTTACATTCATTCAGGAAAGCATGACAGCCTTGAAGAAGACAGGCAGGGGCAAGCTCTTGTGGCCTAGTGGCAAGAAGCGGCACTGCAATCCCAGAGGTGCGCGGTTCAAATCCCCCAGATGCTCTGCTGGAGAAGGATGAACAATCTCCTCCTGTACCAGTCAGATCTGATTTGACGGTACACACACACAAAAATAATAATAACAATAATTAAAAAAATTAAAAAAAAGGACAGGCAGAGCCCTGCCGTCCTGTAGTGGATTCATAGTGAAGGAGATGGGCCTTCAAGAAAGGTTTGGTTCAGTGAAGGTAAAACGGGGGCAGCTGACGGCAGAGGAGGTACAGTTCTTACAAGCAGCTGTGTTATTAGTGCTCATGCAGGTGGTCTCAGTCTCCAAAGGCGCTCACTCACGCTCAGGGGCTGCTGACACATGTGTGAGCCCTTCGTGTGAAAATATATGTGTGCTTGTGTACATACTAGAGGTTCTTAAAGGAGATGAAATGTTAATAGGCTTTGTATTAATGTATATTAATGTCCTAGTGAAATAAAACCTGTCAACATGAGACTGGAACAAGGCAGTGAAGAGGAACCAGCTCCTCATTTCACTTGGAATTTGAATCTTTTCCCAAGAGAACGTGGTGGCTTTATCATTTTAAAATGCCAGGAAAGATACTCAGAGTTCCACCAGAATGGTCCAGATGTATTCAGAGAGTGAGAAGGAATGAGGCCGTGCCTGCCGCTGGGCTCTGTGCAGCAGCGAAGGAGCAATGAAGTGACTGCAGGAAGGTGAATGCAGTGAAGGAGCAGTGCCTGCCGGTGGGCTACGCGCAGCAGCGAAGGTGGATGAAGTGACTGCCGGTGGGCTCAGCCCAGCAGTGAAGGTGGATGCAGTGCCAAGCAGTGAAAGAGCGATGCATTGCCTGCTGGTGGGCTCCTTGCAGCAGTGACCGTGCAGCTGCCATGGGACCCAGTCACCGCGTGTGAACCGGCTCCACACACCTGACAATGGCCAGTCATGCTTAACTGTTTTGACAGAAAGTGGTGCTTTTATGTCGGATGTTTCATACTCTTTTAACATGTGAAGCCTATTTGTTGACATTCCTGTACTTAAGTGTCTTTTTGATAGCTGTATTTTCATATCCTGAGGTCTTGCATAGTTTGTTTTATCCTTCCCTTATTATAGCAAACTTTATACAGATGTTAGTCATCTGTTATAGTTGCGTGTCATCAGCTTGACTTACAGGGACCTTGGAGGAGAGGGTAGAACCACTGCCCAGGGCTTCTGAGTGGGACCCTCCCAGGGGCTGACCCCCTCATCTTACCCCCATGGACTGGCTGGCAGCCTTGCGCTTTAACCACCGTGCCACCAGGGCTGAGCTGTGTGGCCCCGCTGATCCCTGGTCTGAGACAAGCGGGTCCCATGTTCCGCCTATTCCCGACCCCTCCTTCTCCTGCAGGTGTTCCTGTTGATTCAGAGTGAGAAGATGAAGAACGACTACGTTTACCTCAGCTGGCTGGCGCGGTGCTGTGAGTGCTTCTCAGGGTCTTGGGGAGACTTCTTCCCCGCTCTAGAACCTTCCAGGAGGCGCTGGCACTGCCGCTTTTGGGTTCATTCTGTGGTGGAATGAGCACTGACATCCGTGAGGCGGAGGCTCCACAGAGAGGGCTGTGTGCTAGAGTTCACTCCACAGGACTTGGGGTCTCCAGAGGCGCCAGGCACCGTTCGGTGGGGTGGTTCCAGGGTTTGCTTGCAGGCCCTGGTGATGTGATGCCCTGACACTTATGTGCCCCGATCTTTTCACTGAGGTGCAGGCCAGAAAAGTGGTGGTGTTCTGAAGTGGGCCTGCTTTGTGCAGCGTGTACCGTATAGATTCTTTCTCTGTTGTGCCCCCTTTCTTGCCCTCTTCTTTCTCCTCTTTCTTTTTCTTAGATTTAAAGAGATCACTAAGTTTCATGTCACAGGAAGTACAGCAATCAGATACTCTAAAGGAGAGAGGCTTTAGGAGTGGGGTTGATTTTTTTAAATTTTTTTTTTTAATTTTATTATTTGTGTGTGTGCGTGTACCGTCAAATCAGATCTGACTGGTACAGGAGGAGAGTGTCCCTCCTTTCCCAGCAAAGCATCTGGTTGATTCGAACCATGCTCCTCTGGGATTGCAGTGCAGCTTCTTGCCACTAGGCCACCAGAGCTCCCCAAGGAGTGGGGTTGATTTTTGACTCAGCTAAGTATCAGTGTTCTCCTTAAACCTGTGAGTGGAATGAGAACTCCTGGAAGTGGACACAGTCTGCAGACAGGTTTCTGGCCCCTTCCTGTAAACAGTTCCCATCTTTTGGAATTGTGGGCAACCCGCCTAGACGCAGCCCCATGAGCTCGCCGTGTGTCCTGTTCTACCACCACCTGGTGTGTTTGGAGCGTAGAGCCCGATCCAGAGCCTAGCGAGGGGCAGCCGTGGAGGAAATCCGCTGGGACAGCTAATGCCTTCCTCTCTGTCCGTAGATATCATGAATAAGAAGCCACGACTGGCCTGGGAGCTTTACCTCAAGATGGAGACCTCGGGCGAGTCCTTCAGCCTCTTACAACTCATCGCTAACGACTGCTACAAGGTGCGTGGGGTGGGAGAGAAGGGGCAAGGAGGAAGCCCAGCCCAGCATCCACTGCACAGCTAGTCCAGCTCTGCTGAGGCTGTCGACTCGCTGTCCACCACAGCAAGGGCCTGGGGTGCCTTCAGGAATGGACACCCGCAGGGTTAGGTGGGTCTTCAGGGTTCTCTGAAGTAATGGCTTGGAGGAAGGTTCTAGATCCTAAGGCATGTGAATTTCAGGTGTCATTGGCAGATATCCGTCTGGTAGTGAGGAATTTGGCTGTGAGCTGTGTCCCTGATATTCAGAGGCATGGACCAGGAGCCTCTGCGTTTCCACAGTGATAGAAGCTCTGGAAGTGAGGGAGATTGCCCAGGAAAAGGGGCTGTAAATCAATCCTCTGGGAATACAAAGGGGCAGGTGGATATTATATAGGAAACCAGAAAAGAAACTAGAAAGAGTAAGACATAGATTTAGTATAGGGCAGGCACACACATGCACCTTTCTCTCATATCACATAGAACTACATACACACACTGTATTAGTGTCAACTTCGGGCCTTTGCCCCATAGTATAGTGTAGTTATGTAAGAAGTAACAGTTGGGATTCAGCAAATGACACACAACTGTACAAACATAGTACAACAGCATTTACTCCCTGGACTTGATCTGAATAATATACTAGAATTACATAAGATTTATCCATTAGAAAGACCAGAAAAGATACCTGGGACTTGAAGATCTTTTAATCATTTCGAAACAAATTTGGTTGGTTTTGTTTTGTTTTGTTTTTGGG